GTACTTGAAAGGCTGTCACAAAGAGAAAGGACAGGATCTATTCTTGAACATCCCAGAGTGCAGGACATGGAATAATGGGCTCAAGTCACAGGAAGCCAGGTTTCAGCTAGATTATCAGGAAAAATTTCCTGATTGTTAGAGAAGTACGATAATGGACCCCATTGCCTTGGGGTAGGCAACTTTTTAAACAGGGGACTAGTTCACTGTCCCTAGGACTGTTGTGGGGCCAGGCCATAGTTTGAAAAAAATAGGAATGAATTCCTATGCATACTGCACATTAAAAATTAATTAATATTAAAATAAATTAAGAATAATCAAAATTTTAAAAATAAATTAAAAAACAAGAAATGTTTGTTCCGCTCCCTCGGGCTGCAGCAGAAGCCTAAGATGAGGTGGGGAAGACCATGTCCATATTCAAGGGACATAGCTACAACACAACCCAGGCACTAAATATAGTATTTTGCATAATGCAGCTGATGACTGCAACTGGTATTTACAAAGAATGAAGCAAAAATGCTAAGGATAAATACTGTTAATGCCACTCTTAGTATCTGAAGCAAGTCAGCCCAGAACAATTCCGACAATACACAATGGCTTTATTTGGATGCAGAGCTAATGACTACCATAGTTTAAGTGCAACCTTGCCAAAACTGGTACTGTCCAGATGAGTTGGACTACAACTTCCATTGGCCATGCTGGTTGGGCCTGTTGGAAATTATAGTCCTCGTCACTGCCCCAGTTCTGAGGGAGCAGGAGTGGGAGCGGGAGGCTGGAGAGGTGAGGAGCAGCAGCCCTTCTCTGAGCAACCTGTGGTTGCCCTCAAGCGGCTGGCTCCGGACTCGGCAAGGTGGCCGTGGCTTGGCCTGCAGCCCAGGGATGTGGCTCACATGCTTAAAAATGGATTTAAAAAGTTATATATTTCTTACTTTCAATCCTTTTTTAGTGTCTTTGTCTCTCTCTTCCGTCCTCCTCTCTTCTGTTTCTTGCTCTGTATTCCTGCTCTGTATATGCGTACAATTGGGCGGGGGGGGGGGGGCCCAAAACACACACAGTTGAGCTGTTACAATTTGGCATGTGCACCAGCTCTGCTCAGTTTCAGAGAATGCCAGCTCAGAGCTTTTGGACTTGCTTGGAGATCATTTTCTCTGAGCAAGTCCAAAAGCTTTAAGGCAGGCCGGATAAAGCTCTGAGGCGGGCTGGAGGTGGTTGAGGCCCCACTGGTGAGGGTGTTCAAAGATAGGCTGAACATGCACATGGTGGGCATGTCATGAGCAGAGCCAGCTGGAGCCGGGGGTCAGACTAGATGGCCCGGGAGACCCCCTCCTGACTCACTCTGTTTCTATGTTTCTAAATGAGCATAGTGGGCCATATCTAGCGCTCAGGCCATAGTTTGAGGCCCCATGCCTTGGGAGTTGCAGGCTCTCCCACACTAGAAGCATTGGAGATGCAACTGGACAGCCATCTTAGAGGGATGGTTTAACTTGGTGTCTTGCACTGAGTAAGGGGTTGGGCCTGATGGTCTTCTGGGCCCTTTCAACTCTAGTATTCTATGATTCTATGTCAATGACCTCTAGTGTCTTGGAACAAAAACTTTTCCAGATTTTAAAGTAACATTATTTTAAAACGCTGCTTTAAAGAGTTTCAGAATGTAGATGAGTTAGTCTCTTGCAAATGGTGAGAGGATCGTTCTGGCATTTTAGTGTGCAGTCTGATGCATATTTAGAGAGAAAAGGGCTCTACAACTTGCAACATGCCCAAATAGCTGTTTAGGACTGTTCATTCTCATGGATGTCTACTTAATCTAATGGAGAGTAATTCATGAAAACTCATACCAGATTACATTTTCTAGTTTTTACAATGTTATAAGATAATTTGTTCCTTTTAATTTAAAGTAAAATAAATATATTCAGGGAATTAATATATTGTATTAGATTTTTTTCTTGAATTATTCCAAAATGTTCCAGTTTCCAGTGGATTTCTCCCTCAGGTTGTCACATCTTTTCTTTTGCACCTTTACAGATGGGCTCTGCATGGGTACTAGCTTTTGTTGTTTGACCACTTTGTAAGTCTCCAGCTTTGGATTGTTGGAGACCTGGCAATTATATGTGAAAAGTCTTGTCTTTGTATGCAACAAGCTTGACTTATGCAGAAAATAAACCAACATATGTGTATGTCTTTTCCCGTAGGCTGCAAACTTGTTTCCTTTAGGTCATTCTGAAATCTTGATATGGATGCCACAGAGTTCCGAAAAAGAGGCAAAGAGATAGTGGACTACATAGCAGACTACATGGAGAACATAGAGAAGAGGCAGGTGTATCCTGATGTAGAGCCAGGCTACCTGAGGCCCCTCCTCCCAGATTCTGCTCCTGAAGAACCTGAGAGATTTGAAGATGTCTTTAAAGATATTGAAAGGATCATTATGCCTGGGGTAATTATATCTGAATAGCAGAACCCGGAAAGAGCTTTGAAGAATATGAATGAATGTTTAAAAATATCTGTATACAACAACCTCCCCTTGTTGTGAAACAAGCTCCCCAGTGAGACCTTCCAGTGGCCATCTTTTGGTGGCAGGTTAAGACTCTCTTCTACCACAGGGCATTTAATTAGTTTATTGTTATACTGGGGCTTAAATTATCTGCTTAAACGGGTCTTATGGTTTAATTTGTATAAGCTATTGTAGGTTTCTACATTTGTTTCAGATTAGGCCGTAAGATTTGGTACTGTCGTTTCAATAATGTTTTTATTGTTACCTGTATTTTATATTGCTTTTTATATGCTATTGGAAATTGTCCAGAAAGTTTTGGCTATTGGGTGATATAGAAATTAAATCAATAATAAATATACTTCAGGTCTAATCAGGAATGACTTGCCACGGGAAAACAGCTGAATAGTCCTTGTTGTAGAAAGCTCCATGACACATAAAATCTGTCTTAGGAACACTTTGTCCTCTCGCATGTCCCAACAGCACCAGAGAAATGTCTGCATGGGACAAAGAGGGCCCTGCCTCACTTCTGCATCAGCAGCTTACATAAGGCCATTAAAGGACTTCTACTTTAGGAAGGTGTTTGTTGTTGTGATTTAACCTGCTTTTAATTTGCTCTTTTTAAATATTTTACATGTTTTATTGCTGTTATGCTGCTGAAACAGCAGTAGGCATTTATTGGTAGGATGTTTATTTTTGCGTTAGCATTTATTGGTGGGATGTTCAATTGCTTATTTTTACTTTTAATGACAGTTTTCTGAGCTTCTAGGAAAAAAGGGAGGGCAGGCAATCATAGAATCATAGAACAGAAAAGTTTGATGGGGCTAATAAGGCAGTAAGGTCCAATTCCTGCTCAATGCAGAATTTCAAGTTAAGCGTCCCTTTCAGAGACCAGGGATAGGCAATGTATGTGCCCTCCAGACAAAACTCCCAAAACTGTACTATTGTTCAGGCTGGCAGGAGGTGATGGGCACTGTAGTGCACAATATCTGGAGGGCATCAGGCTGCCTGCTTCTACTTCTGAGAATGCCTAGAAGATCCAATGCAGTTGCAGCAATGTTTCTTGCAAAGGATTTACTGGTGGCCACACAGTTACTTTCAGATGGGGCTCATGTTAGAGGTAGAACATGCATAGTACCATTCACCTTTTTATGGACTGCACGGTCCTTTTAACAAAAGAAAAGAAAAGAATCCTCTTTTATTGTTTTCAACAACAACATTTATGGAAAGAAGAGGAAAAAGAGAAAAATATATTCAACTCCCTATCTGTGTTGTATTATGGGTTCCAGGGCTGATATTTTCTGTTCTGCATAACAAGGTCCCTCTTGCCCTGATGAATGCTTGCTTCTCTTCTTTCCCACAGATAACTCACTGGCATCATCCATGCTTCTTTGCCTACTTTGCTACAGCCAACTCTTTCCCAGCCCTTCTGGCTGACATGCTGTCTGGGGGCATAGGTTGTATGGGCTTCTCTTGGGTAAGTGGCATGCAACTGAGTCTATCAAGATTGGATTTGGGATTGGTCCACTGATGGCTTTGTCTCCTGGGCAGCTTTAGCACATGTATCGAGCATGCATCTGTTCACTGGTAGCCACCCTTGGATGCATTTCTTATTGTGGCGGGGGAGGCGGTTAGAGTGTCAGAGAATCTGAGAGCAATCCCACCAGATTCTCTCACTCGGCTGATCTCCCAGCATGGTCAACCAAGGTGGAATGGGCAAAGCTGAGGTGCCAGACTAAGATGCATCCACCTCCTTCAGGAGGAGCAGTCACATCAGCGGAAGAGACCAGATATTTCTAATGGTGAAGGGGCAGAGAAACTCCTAAGTGCAGCTACTGGCCATCAGTGGTAATTGAAGGTGACAGTGGTGGAGGACAACAGCTGTGAAGCTCAAGCTAACTCTGATTAGCAGTGTGCAGAAGCAAGCGCTAATAAACCACTTTGAAATATTATTTGTAAACACTATGACGAAACAACCCAAGCAAAACACAAGAAAGTGCTAGGATAAGACTCCCAGGCATTCAGTCAGCCACTGGGGAACAGTAAAAGGCAAGTACAAATAGCACTTGATCAAACTTGATCAAAGCTGAAATGAAATCTAGTGGCTAATATGCAAAGAAGCAAAAGGAATATCCAATGCTGCATGGAACATTAGTATGATCAAGGCAAACTGAAAACTTTGATGCAAGGAATGGAACAGCTAAATGGCACAGCACTTGGTATGACCAAACTGGACTGGAATGGGACATTTTCAGTCAGGCAAACAAAGTTTTACTCTAGAAATGACAAACTCAAAAGAAGCAGAATGGCTCTAATACAGTGAAAAGATCTAGCCCAGGCAGTATGGGGCTATAATGCATAGTCCAATGGAAAACATCAGTCAGAATTCATGGAAGATTTATCAGTATAGCCACACTAAAGCAAGACTTGTTGAATTCAAAAGTAGGAAACAAAGGGAATCCATTGTTGTAGGAGAATATGGCCATGGGGTCAGATACAAAGCACAGAATGACTCAAAGAATTCTGTGAAGACAACAACCTGTTCATTGTAAAGACATATTTCATGCAGCTGATCATATGACTGTGCACATGGATCTGCCCAAATGACCAATATAGAAACTATGTAATTGGGAATAAGAGATAGAGGAACTGTATTCTTACTGCCAAACAAGACCAGGAGCAGATTGCTGTATGGACCATGAACTGTTAACAGGAAAAATCAGGGTAAAGCTGATTACTGACATATATATATATGTTAGGGGGTGTCACACAGATGTGGGTAGAGACCTGTTTTCCCCTGTGAAGGAGGGCAGGATGTGTTCCAATGGAGCAAAGCCCAGGGAACCAAGGTTCAATTTAGATGCCAGGAAGTACTTGGAATGGGCTTCCACAGGAGGTGGTTGAGGCCCCATTGGTGAGGGTGTTCAAGGATAGGCTGGACATGCACATGGCAGGCATGTCATGAGTGGAGCCGGCTGGAGCTGGAGGTCAGACTAGATGGCCTGGGAGACCCCTTCTGACTCCCTCTGTTTCTATGTTTCTACAAATTTCATTCCCCAAGAAAGGAGATGCTAAGGAGCTCAACAAGTATAGGACCACTGCATTAATTTTCCAAGTACAAGGATAATGATGCTTTAGGAGTTGCAAGAAAGAAGACTACCCTATATGGAGCAAGAAATGCCTGATGTTCAAGCTGGTTTCTGAAAAGGATGAGGTGCTCAAGATGATCTCACAACTATACATGGGCGACTGCACTCCAAAAAATTTCAGAAGATCAGTCTATGCTTTATAGACTACAGCAAAGCTTTTGGCTGTGCAGATCATGAGAAGCTCTGGATAGTCCTGAACGAAATGGGTGTACTTCAGTGCTTGATTGTTCTGATGCACAATCTGTATCATGGATTATCAAGAAACTACTGTTAGGCAGAATATGGAGAAAGAAAATGGTTTACCATAGGTAAAGGCATCAGACAAGGATGCATTTTATCTCCCTATTTGTTCAATCTGTACCCAGAACAGACCATAAGGAAAGCTAGACTAGGGTCAGAGGAAGCAGGAATGAAAATTGGAGGAAGTTGCATCAATAACATAAGTTATGAAGATTATCCCATCCTACTGGCAGAAAGCAGCAATGAATTGAAGTGACACCTGATGAATGTGAAATAAAATGGCATAAAAGCACGACTGCAGTTGAGCAGTAAGAAAAAAAATAATCATGCATATTAAAGAATTACTGGCTGTTCTCAGGTTATGAACGAATACTGTTCCTGAGAATGTCTTTAAGTTGAATTTGTATGTAAGTCAGATCACATAAGTATGGATCATATTTAGCATGAGTAAGCCAAATGTTTGCCTTAGTATATGTATATTTCACCTTTCTATGTATATAAATCACTTAAGAAGCACTTCCATATACAGTTGGCCCTCCACATTCATGGGTGTTAGGTGCACAGGACCCATATGAAAGTGGAAAAACCACAAATGTTTCTAGCCCCCCCTTCCCCCAAAAAAACCCTCACCAGTGCCTCCTCTTTGCAACAAGGAAATGCTGGAGAGATTTCCCTCTCTGGGTGGGCAGGGCAGGAAGGTGTGCTTTGGAGACCCTCCAACTCTCCCCTTCTGCTCCTCCCTCCTCTCTGAATTGTCTTGTTCAGTTGCCTGGTATTTTGACTTTGTATTGGAAGGGATTTTTGAGCTTATGGGCATGTAAGGCAAATACGTATAAAACTAAGCAGAATGCCACGACAGAGCTTTTTCTATCAGCTCCACACACTGTACACTCAGGATGCCTTATATTGGCTTACTGCTTTTTCGGATAATGCTGTGAACCACTAATTTTGCTTCTTTTTCATCAAGGTATTTTCTGTTTTTTAAAAAATAGGGGTAAAGTGTGTGATTTCTTTCCACGTACTTCCGCTACTCCAGTACAGCACAGCGCCCCCTAGAGGCTAGATAATGGGAATGTGGGGGGGAAGTTCTGCGTAACTTTATCTACCTCTCAGAACTCAACGAGAGGTAGATAACGCAATTAATAGGTACATGTAGAAAACCCCCCAGGCCATCTGAGGGGTGATCCATTGCCTCTGTTTTTGCAGTGCCTGGACTGAGTCGCATCCTTGCTTCACTGCATCTGTTTTCTGCGCTCTTGGTAACGTGTCTCAGGAGTTAAGAGAAGCGCCAAACTCTTTTCACAAATTTCTTTTTACTGGGTTTCTCCCTTGTAGGCTGCAAGCCCCGCTTGCACAGAACTGGAGACAGTTATGATGGATTGGCTCGGCAAAATGATCAATTTGCCTCCACAGTTTTTGGTCGGGAATGGGGGAGCAGGCGGTGGGGTGATCCAGGTAAGATGGACCATTTGTTGCCTTTATTACTGTTTGGTGTGCACGCGGCTTGAAGTGGGCAGGAAAAAATTGTTAAGATGCTAATTTAAAAAAACATCAGAACTCCAGACTTCTAAAGCATTGCCCGTGGCTATGTTACATTTGGAATAATTTTTTTTTAAAATATTTTTTTCAATCTAAAATACAACTAAAAAAGACTTACAACTGACATAAAAACATAAGATTAAGGATACCATGTCCCCACCACCAGGACTATAGGATACATGTTACAGAAATAAAAACTTATTCTTTCAGGACATTTCCCCCTTCCAAAACTTCAGTGAATATTTTGATGGTTCAAATCCTTTCCCTTTTTAAAAATGCAAAATAAATATATCCCAAATCTCATTAAACTTGTTTTTCTTTACATGTCCTCTTCTTACTTTAATATCACATGTTAATTTATTATTAATAGCTATATTCCAAACTTCTCTGAACCAATCACACAACTGATAATCATATTTTACTTTCCAGTTCTTAATAACTTACAGCAGTTATTAAATTTATTATTAATTCTTTATTATTCCACCCCTTTTATTTTTGATCAAATACTGAAAGCAATGCAATCCCAGGACATACTTCAGGATTTAAACTTAAGATTTTACTTCTCTCTTTAAAAATCTCTTTTTAAAATGTCATTATATATACACATTCCCACCACACAGGAAAATATATACCCATGCCACAATCAAATCTCCAACATAAATTGGGATATTTATTATCTGTCTTCAACTTCAACTTCACTGGAGTTAGATACCACTTCCATCCAGTTTTATAAAAGTTTTCCTTTATTCTTACTGACATACAGGACTGATGAATAATATCAAATGGGCTTGGTTGCCCTCTGCTCACCTCCTGCTGTGCAGCCCTGTTCCTAATGGGGCGGGGGACGACCCCGGGGGGTTGGGGACCCCTGTTCTACACCATCACCTTCAGCTCCCTCTTCCTTCAGCTCTGTGCTTCATTGGCACTGTCTTTATCCCCTTGTGCACAGAGTTAGCACAGCTATGCATGGCTGATTTTTCCTCTGCATAAGTGTCCATGTCCCCAAATTGGCAATTTGGGAAGGGGGATTTCAGCTTCCCCCCTCCTGTTTTCAAGTCAAAATTCCTCTTCCCGAGTGGAGAACGGTTTAAAAAATTAAGAAAAAAAAAGTCTGTGAAATGTATTAAGGCACCTCACTAGAACTTGACCCTCCTTCTAATTTTTTAATCTGGGCTGGTGTTACGGGTAGGCATGGTTGGGCACCTGCCAGGAAGGTCCTGTTGGGTTGTGGTCCGTCAGCAAGAATTCCCAGACCCTGCTTCTCTTCGCTGTTGCAACCTGCTTCTTTGCCTGCCTATTACTCAGACAATGGTGGTGGTGTGAGACGGAGCAATAAATGCCTCTGTTCCATATGCAGGTGATGGGAAGCAGCTGGTGAGAAGGACAATTTGCTGAGATGGTGGGGGGGGGGGGAGGCTTGGACCTGCAGCTGGAGTTCTTGTAAATGCTGGCAGCTGCTGAAGTGTCATGTCAGAATGGCTTGTTTTACACAGGGTGCAAAATAACTTTCTACATCATCCATTTGTACCAAATTTTGTTCTGGCAACAATAAGCAATTATGTTGGTTTATGTAATTGGCAGCTGAGAATGCTGCCATTTTAAGCTTGGCTGCCTATAATTTTGGAGGACGATGATCACTGTTCAGTTGAGGGGCTGAAAGATGAGCGTGAGAGAAGCTGCAGCTTTTGCTGGAAATGAGGCAGTTTGTGATGCTGATATTCTTGCCTTAAACTTGTAACAAGAAATAATAAATACAAGAAATGGCATGACCAAAATGGGCTTTATATCAGAGTGCCGATCATTCCAGGCTGTAAAACCAAAAGGATATTGGTGGGTTGGCCTGTGGAAATTGGTGCTTATTTCCCTTTTGAAGGCCAAATCAATATGAAACCACTTTTTCTTGCCTGAAAAGTGACACTTGAAAAATGCAAAGATGAAAGTAAATTTCAGCCTGGGGCTCTGCTTGACACAAGTAGCACTACTCACCAATATTTCTGCTACCTCTTGAGCCTGTTCACCATGGTAACCTTTGTTTGCTTGCAGTGAAGGAGAAAGGAGAGCCGGCTTGCTTCATGTGTGTGCAATAAAAGCCAACTTTCTAGCAAGAGCCTCAGTGCTTCTCCTATCATTTTATTGTGGCTTGATCCAGGCCAGCCATATGTTTCAGTGGGAGGGATTTAGGCAAGTGCTGAACTTGCCCTGTGAAATAAATGGGGTTTGCAAATGCTCACCTTGGACTGGATTATGCCTTTAACTCCAACAAGATACTTATTAGAGCCTTTGCTGACTGTGTGTCTGATCGCATCCTTTTCCTAAAAGGCATTTTTAGGAGACTGGCACTCCAAATCAGAGCACTGATTTAGCTGCAACATACAAACTGGAGGCAGGGAGGAGGAACCCCTTATTCTGCTAGTAACTGCTAGGCCACCTTGATCAGCACAGGAGAAAAAACTGTAGTTATGCCAAAATGTAAAAATGGTCTGTTTAATGAGGGATGTTGAACCGCACTATCTGTTTCCCTGTTTGGAAGACCATCAGCACCCTACATCTTTATCGTGCTATTTGTCTTCAGTGCTGTGGCTATGCCCTCTGCTTCGGAACATTTTCTCTTGAATTGCCTGATCCAACTGCATTTGTTTTTCATTATTTACTAATAATTCTTTTTAAAGCCATTCTTTTTAAAGTTTTCATACAAAGAGGTTGTGAGGGAAAAACAGCAAATAAGTTCTAGATCAACTATGAATCCAGTCAGTCTTGAGGTTAAAGCATGTCAGAAAGGCAGAGCTTAATTTTGAAATCTATACAGAGCTCAGCAATTTGGCTTCTGCCTTTATAAGTATCTGTGATGTTAAATAGATACTGAGTGGTAGTTTGAAATATTGGTAGCAGAGAAAAAAAACAGAGGTGTGAGTGGTGCAAAGCGTACAAATTATCCTCCAGATTAAGGTTGTAAGGAGTTCTCTCTCTATAAATCCAGATGTTTTCCATGCTGCCCAGCATGTCAGTGTCTTTGTAAATTGTAAATCTGTGAGTTTACATGCAGATGGGTGAAAATGCCTTTCCAACAGGCTACTCTAGCTTTTTTTTTTGGTAAGACTTGCAGGCTATTGTTATGGAACTGTGTTCTTAGTTTCACTGTTGTTTTCCCCATGTATTGCACATGGCATTTTTTTTTCAATTGCATTCAGTTGAATAAAACAGTGAAGTGCATGTTACTAGTTGTCCCCCACAAGAAGTGTTTTCCTGGAGGTGGCTGCAGAAAACAAAACTCACTGATTTCCATTGGTTCGATCCTGGGTTGCAAAAATCTTTTTTAAGTGCTGCTTTACCAAACACTTTACTCGAATTGGGTGATTTTCAGAATGCAGCGCATGATGGAGAATTAATGGCTACCAGTGAATGAGCACAATGAATAGGGTAATCTTTTTTATCTGGGAGTAATCGTGGGGGCAGGATGGTACTATTTTTTCTGTTGGTCTATGTCTTTCTTACACACATATTTCATGTGCAAGCACTGAAACTTACATAATCCAAAACTCAGGGAGCAATACTCGCTTTCTTCCTTTTTGTTTTATTGAAATTTTACCATTTTCTCTTCTTTACTATTCAGGGCACAGCCAGTGAGTCAACTCTGGTTGCAATGCTCGCAGCTAGAACCAAAGCGATCTGTCGTGCCTTATCGGAAAACAAAGATTTGACTCAGGGAGACGTAATTGGCCGGCTGGTGGCTTATGCTTCCGACCAAGTGAGTGGGAATAATAATTAATGTGCTTCATAGTGCTAACTGAAGCACAGAATAAGGTTTGGTAATAACATGAAACAGTCTTTCATCCATGTTATGCTTTTGCAATGGTCCCCAGTCAGCCATTTAGCAAGCACACTTAATTAATAAGAACACTGTAAACAAACAGCCACTCTTATTTTGACAAAAAAGGCAATTGCTGGCTCCCAGTCTGGAACATGATCCCCATTTGTGCTTCAGGAGTGTCCTGCTGAAAATGATAGATTTCAGATTGGGGTGCCACAGCTGTTTTTGTTTTCCTTTTCTTTAAAATAAATATGGTCATTTTAAGTATGTCCCTGAAAGTCCTTTTTCCAGGAATGTCCTTGCAATTTTTTCAGAAGTTAAATGAATTGTTCAAAACAGTATTCATATTATTCAACAAAATAGGCAAGGGGTCAGTTCTAATGTTAAGAAATGGGTTTGCTGTTAGATTCAAGGTTTAAATGTACTTTGACCCTTTTATTTTACCATAATAAATTACCTTTACTAACTTTGGAATGATGTAGTTTTTATTCTGTAAGCCAATTTGGACAGATGGTAGATCTGTATCTCCTGGCAGATCTCTAGGTAATTTTCTTTAGATCAGAAAATATTCCCAGGGGCTAGTTCTTTATTACAGAACCTTTTCTGCAGTGGCCCTCAAATTCCAGAAAGTCTTTTTTGGAACAGGCTGCCTGGGGCATACTTTGTTGACACTGCCACAACATGTTTCATGTATAGAACTGAGGACACTGCAAGTTGTTAGTCATAGGAGTCATGAAGCACTGTATTATTACATCTGGGTCAAAAGTAAGGACAGGAACAGGAAGTATAATAGCAATACAATATTACCATTAGTAGTTACAAGCAAAGTATTTGCATAGTAACTCCATAACATCTCCCCTTTTTTACATATGATTCAACAGTGTGTAAACAACCTAAAAACAGATCCCAAACAATCTTAGACATAACATACTGTATTATTAGTAGATAGGCTACAGATTAAGTCTATCTGGAGGTCTTGAAACTCGGCCACTTCGCAAGGCCACAGGGATTTTGCCTGGTGAAGGCTGTTCAGCTCCAGAAGGTGTTGATAAGAAACTGCCCTGTTTCCTGACTGGTGTGTTTGGTACAGAAGAACTTACTGGTATGTGCAGTTGCATTATTTCACAACAGGCAAGGCCCTTTTATTCTCCCAGGCCTTTGAAAAGTATTTTATCTGCTGCTTGTTTTAGTCTCAGTATGAGAAAAATTAACTAAAAAAGCCCTTCTTTAGCTGCTCAGTTATTTCTCTCATTTAAATGCTCTTTTACCTTCTGGGTTTTGAATAATGTTTTAACATGTTCTGTTATCAGTTCTATTATGTTTACTTTTATTATGCATGTTGCCCTGAGAGCTCCAGCAAAAGCAGGACTCATAAATTGAATGAAGAAATAAATAAAGGAGCAAAGTTAGGCCTCCTCAGCCAATGTCGTAGCATATTTCTCATTTCCAGCTCCAAAGTGGGAGAAAGTTGGAACTGGAGCTCCAGCCCTGCTTCTCCTCACAGTCATCATGGGCAAAACAGTGCTGGCTGATCTCCAAGGTTGGGAAAGCAACCTCAGACAGTGGGAAAGGGGACATTTTGGTGGGAGGGGACAAGAAAGGCTAAAATGCAAGTTATTGTGATGCCATTCCAGTCCAGCCTCCTTTAAAACAAACAAACAAACAAACAAATACCGTCATTTATGACAACTTCTCAGGATGGCTTACAACATTAAAACCAACAACCAATAAAAACAATCAATAGGGCGAGACAATGGAATAATATATAATCAGTAAAAATATAATCAAATTGAGATTATATTAAAAAAGACTGTTAACTTCTAAAATTACTAATTTTTAAAATGACGTTTGAATAAAAAGGTTTTCATCTGGCACCTAAAAGAATATAGGCTTGGCACCAGGCAAACCTCTCTGGGGAGCACATTCCCTCTCAGGAGTGGTTCAGCTCGACAGGTAAAAAAATGCCGGGCAGGAGGCAAGAGTTGCATCCCCTGCATTGGGTGACCCAGGGCCTTGGAGTTCAGTGGCTTCCAGCCATCGCCACAGGATTGCACCCTAAATAATTGAATAAGTGCAACAGCAAAATCCCTTCCCCTGTCCTAGATAGTATTGCTGACTGAAGACAGCTTGGGAAAGCCAGGAAGGGATTATCATGTGGAAGGACTATGTGATCTGTTCAGTTCTGACCCTCAGAACAAAATTCTGGTCTTGGATTTCTTTGATTCTAAGAGTACCTTTCTCTGGTTAATGAATGCTGGGGATTGTATTTATTTATTTATCACATTTGTATGCCACTGCATAGCCAAAGGCTCTCTGGGCGGCTCACAATGTGCAATATAAATATATTTAAAATATGGGTAACAATAAATAACAATAAGAAACAACACCATAAAACATAGTAAAATTAAAATGCATTATAAATACAATCATATAAATAGGAAACAGGAGGAAAATAAACTCTGCAAGTCTGCAGTTTTCCTACCCCTGCTACAAGCAGTGGCCTAATGCTGAGGTGGACTGGCCGTAGCTCTCCAGAGGTCTTGAACTTCAGCTCCCGGAAGTTCTTGCCAGCAAGACCAATGGACATGAATGTGAACTGGAACTAAAAATATCTGGAGATATGCTTACTGACTATCCTGGTTTAATGCAAGCTTGCCCAGCCCGGTGCCCTTCGGATGTTTTGAACCTCAATTTCCATCAGGTCCCACCAATTTGCCCTGGAGTCAGGAAAGCTGGGAGTTGTAGTCTAAAACATCTGGAGGCCACAAGATTGGGGAAGGCTGGCCTAATAATTTTCCTGAAAGGCAGAACTGACATTTCAAACATGTTCTTAGAACTGGAACTGCATGTGGATGAGTTATTTATTTATTGAATTTATTTATCACATTTGTATGTCACCCCATAGCCAAAGGCTCTCTGGGTGGCTCACAGTGATATTCAAATGTTACCTTAAATAAAGCAGAAGTTTGCAGTGCCAACCCTGAGCAGATAGTAACTCCCCCTGGCCCAGAAATCCTTTATGTAAATTGACCTTGTATTCACACCAAGGCAATCTCTTTTGCTTAATATGCTTAGCATTTAGCTGCCCTTCTTAAGGATAAATTCTTAGCAGGCCAGGATCAGGAAAAGCTTGGAATGTATGTAAAAGCAAACATTGACCTTATAATCTTAGCATGTCTACATTTTATAAAAGGTGCTAAGTCCACCAGAGGAAGCCATGACAGTATCTTCTAACAACGATGACATTTCAGTATCTAAATGTCAGAGACACAACAGAACTGGTCCCCCCCCCCCCCGGTATTTCTTTTTCTGTTGTTTTAAAGAATCCCCTTGCAGCATCTGATACCATTATCTTAGATGTGTGAATCATTTAAACACAGAAGCACAAGGTTTATTGGTTTTAAAAGATTTTGCGGTGAATAGAAGCACCTGTGTAACAGCAGATGAAGAGATGAACAAGGTTAAGATCGGCATTGTGGAACTGTTCCCTTTTCAATCTAAAAAGAATGAAGAAAAAATATTCCCTGAGATTTCACCGAGGAAATATGTAGTAGGTATGTATACATTTGTAGGCTGCTGAATAACCAGATAGGGCTCTCTAAGTGGTGAACAACAAGATATAAGACCAATTTAATTACAATTGCAGGTAGGTATATATGGGGAAAGGCAGTCGTTCAAGTAACTATGTCCCAAGCTATTTAGGGCTTTAGATGTTACGTAAAACAAGTACTTTAAACTGAGTCTGGGCTTCAACTGGCAACCAGTGTAATTAATATAGATGTTTTAAGGGCTTGGGAACCAGACACACAGTCCTTTTTTGGACCAGCTGAAGTCTCCAGACTGCCTTCAAAGGCAGCCCCAGATTTATTTTGTTCCCATATTAAATGAACTTATTTGATCACTGTGCTTTAAGTACTAGTGCATATTTGCATTGACAAAGTATTCTGCAAAAGTCTGAACACAGATCATCAAAAAAGGAGGAAATATGCTGTAAGCACTTGTTGAAATGTCCCTTCACCATCTGTCTGTGTTTCGCCCCTTTCATCTCTGCTGCCCAATATGAGGAAACAGAGGTGGTGTTAGGAAGAGGTCCACTAAGGCTGGATCCCTCAATCTTTCATCTGGAGCCTGAAATCTTTGGAAGACCATGTGCCCGACCACTGTGCTGTCCACGGACTCTTGCTGAAATAAAGCTTCAGTGCCTCCAGTGTTCTCTGCTGCATCTGATCCCCTGGGACGAGCTGGCTGTTGGTCCAGCTACTGCTTGCCTACTGCTGCCCCTCATCAAACTTTCTGCCTGAGGTTTTTTGTAACTTAAATGCCCTCCTTTCATACCCATGAAATGCCCATGTATCCATTTTCACACCTATGCACAGAAAGAGAGAGAGAAATTGAGAGACTGAGAATCTTTGTAAATCAGTCTTTCACAAATTTATGCTTTTTTTGTCCTTTGTGCCTGAGACTCGGATCTTGGCGGTACCTAGCACCAGCCCTGCCTGAAAGGATTCAGTTATGTAAAAAGTTCTCTGTGCAAGTGGTATAAACAAAAAACTTGCACACAGTGTGTGCATTTATTGCAGTGAAGTGTTTAAAAATGACCAGATCGTAAGAAAATAACTATTTCCTTTTGTACCAGGCTTCTTTCCCAGTGTTTATCAGTCTGCAGAGTGTTGTTAGGGCCCAGTGTGTTCATGAGAAGAAAGCAAGGGTGAGGAGAAGGGTGCATGTGTGGGGTTAAGATCCCATGCAAGCAATGGAGCGGCTGTTCTCCCCTTTGGAGCCTTTGAAATCCTGCATGCTTCTTTTCATCACTCTGTACCACATTGACTGCCACTAGCTTTCTTGATACTCCTCACCCTTTGGATTGTAAATGGCTGATCCTCAATGAGCAGTGACAGGCCTGTATGTCTGTTGAAGGTCAGAGGATTTTTCTGTATGCTCAAGGATTTGCCTTAAGACATTTCTGACCTTTCAATGTAGCCTGTTGCTGCACTCGTGGTTCGTCCTGCATTAAATTTGTGACTGGGTGACTCAGTAACCTGTGGAAAGAGAAAGCAACATGAGGAGAAAGATCAGGTTTGACAAAGGAGCATGTTGCTGGAGGGGAAGATGGCAAAGAATTCATGCGTGTCATATACCTCCTCATACTCCAGAGGCGGTTGGTTTTGGGCAACAACAGCCCTCTATTTTGAGCAGGACAGCTATAAGAAGGAGGCTGTATGTGCCCGTGTGTGTGTGACAAAATATTCCACAAAAAAAATGTGTATTTATTCTATGAACATTTAAGAGCGTTGCCTCTTTGTGTGCATTAGCCTGAATTGCTTCTTTTTGTTCTGATTGCAACACTTCTAAATCAGGACAACGTTGGGGAAAGCAAAGGGATAGTCTCCAATTTGACCTGAAGTGCTCAAAGTGCACTTTGCAAAATGCTTGAGTGCATCATATTAATTAATTTGGCAAAGCTTACAACAGATACACAAGATAAGTCAGTATTTTCATCTCTTCGTGTTGCAGATGGGAGACTGAGATTAGGTGAGGTGTGATTTGCTTGACCTAGCTAATTAGTTGCTGAAACAAATATTTGGGTACAGCAAAATATATGTTTTTCATTTTCGAGTGGGTGCATGTGAAACTGTACCCTGTGAATCTTAGGAACTGGTCTTTTGTATTTTGGGGCTAAGACAGATATAGCCTTCAGTTCTGATGCAGCAAATGCACGTGAGAGTGAGGTGAATGTGCCTGTGAGTGGGTTCATTAGATCGTATTTCCTCTAGCAGTGACCTTGATCAGATGTATAAAGTGAGCCAAACATTCACCTGGGAGAACTAGCTAGCCTGAATAAGACCACTTTTGGACAAGGCTTTTTAGTACCATTGCCCTGCATTATTCACAGGATATTATCTGTGTGTGGGGGTGGGGGGGTCCAGATGAGGGGTGTGTGAGGAATCCGTTTTGGGGGTGAGAATCCATTGGATTCTCTGGACTTGCTTTTCTGGACACTGATCTGTCTTGCCGCAGCCCTGAGTCCAAGTTCCTGGTTAGCGCACCCAGTGTTCAAGTGGCTCTCACCAAGAGTCAAGCCCACAAATTGCACAGGCAGAATCCCTCTTCTTTGCCATGTGCAGGGGCAGCTGATGCAGAAGATGCTTACCAGTTGTTGAACAAGAGTTACCAGACTTCCTCTTGGTTTGGTCCTCTTTTTAAGACTTAGCCAAGCACAAAGGAAGTCTGTGAATGCTAGAGGATGCTCAGTGCTAGAGAATGCTTGGTAGATTCCACTGAGTTTCATCCCAACCCTAGTCTAGAAGAGGGTGTTTCCAAGGTTGGTGTTTGGTAGCAGAAGGATCCAGACATAAGGCTCAAAGGACTAAAAAAATGGCACAAACTCACACTCGATGTTTAAATACGCTCTAAAGTCAGTGTGTGTCTTTACATGACTTTTTCTCCTAAAGACAACCCTGAAGGGGTGTATAGGCACAGGGGATTTTATTTTAGGTAAAGGAATGACCCAAGCAGAAAGATTCAGGGGAAGGAGGCAACAGGAGGTGACACATGCAGGCCAGATGCCAGCTGATCCAAGGGAAACAGATTTTAGCAAGTGCCGGTTGACAGTAGGGAGTCCCTCAGATGGCCTGTTAGGGATTCCAGGCTCTGAAAAAATTACTCACCACCTCTGACATCTTCCCCTCACAACTCACCCATGTTTTCCCATCACTTCAGTTGTCTTTCTTACCACAGAAAACCTATTAGAAAAAGAGAAAACAGCAGAACCATGCCTTTTGAATGGTAGAGCTCCACAACTTTGGTCTGGAAGCTCATTCCTTCACATGCATTCATTGTTGCCTCATAGTCTTTTAGTGGGCCAGTTAATGCATTCATACACAGCATGTGATCCGTGCTTGATGACTCATGGTTGAAGGTGTGAATTGCCTCTGCTGAAAATATTATGTGTGAAGAGATATAAAGTGGGGGCTGGCCCAAGACTTCTTGCAGCAAGGAACAGGATGGGACCCTCCCTACCACCTCCATGTACCATGGTGGTAGCCAAATGTTACTTTAGCTCTGGGGACAAGGAAGCATTGTCTACCATGCTTAAGGGCAGCAGGTTGCATAGTGCACCCGTTTCTGTACACACTTCTGTCCTCCAGTGTCTTGCTAGTGTTCCCTGCAGAGTCCCTACCTGAAACATCAGCTTTACTATGTTTAACAGCAGGGTTGGCTCTGTATGACATCTCAGCCATGCTTGATTTGAGATGCCTCTTTTGCACTTGCAAGCCTTACTTGGTGTTGCACTCATCAAATGAGGAGCATGTATTTTTGTACAGTGTGCTTCCTATATCCTCCTCTTCAGCTCAATTGAAAAGATGTCACTGCAGTTTGGAACTTGGGTGATTGTAAATTGTTTCCAGGAAATTATTTATATGTACTGGTATTTCTATGATAAAGTTCCACCCATTTCATCTACAGGCTCATTCATCAGTTGAGAAGGCTGCTGTAATTGCTGGAGTGAAAATTAAAGAGGTCCCCACAGATGACACCTTTGCCGTATGTGGATCAGTTCTAAGAAAAGTTATAGAGGAGGATAAAGCTTCAGGTCTCATCCCATTCTTTGTAAGTACTGACATTGCTGTTTTTCTGAATGGTTCAGATATCCAGTTAACAGACTTGTGGTGAGGGTTGCCAGCTTCTCAACAGCCCTGCTGCTCCATTTGTCTCCAACAGCAGTATGATCTTCAGCAATTACATTGACCTCTGTGCCATAAAAACCTTAAACTGTTAAAGGAAGAAATTAGCAGACAATTTTAACGGTTGGCAATCTAGCTCTGATTATTGTTAGTCTTTGATAATGACAAGATATGGTTAGAAAGGAAGAGATAGAGAAAAGTGTACATCTTTTCTCCTGTTTTGTTTGGTGTAGGAGTTCTGCATCTCTTTCAGCCATTTGAACTCCATTTTGGAGAAGCTCTTGGAGGCCACTCTCCAGCAAGTGGTGGGGCTGTGAATGAGAATTTATTTATTATTATATATTTAGGGGACTTCTATGCCGCCCCATTCACCGAAGCCTTGGGGCGGCTCACAACCATAAATAAATAGAATCCAATAAAACAATATAAATTAACAATATAAATTAAACTAATTTATGGAGAATGGAGGTCCCAGCATTGTTTAGCTTAAAGCTCTTACTGCTAGTAACTAAGCCCTGGGAGGGGCATTTCAGCCCTTTAGAATGGGGACAAAAAGCTACATGAACACTGAAAAACCACCAAACAACTGGTGGTTTGTGAGGGAGGGGGACATGGAAGGAGGTGTGACTATCAGGGGACCTCTGGGGGATTTGTCCCCCAGCCTGACATTCCACACACTTGATTTGGTGGCACTCTCTCCTATGTTCTTGCCCCTAAATGGATAAAATGTTACATTATAAAAAAGAGGCAAAGTCCACTAAACTAACTGATGAAGCTGCATGGATTTTGACATGAGGTGGCCAAATAACCTATGGTTCTCTCAAACAAACAAACAAACAAACAACCAAAATTTGAACCATGTAATTATTTTATGTAGTCCTTTGCTATTTTTGCATTCAACATATCAGTGGGAACATGTTGCAGTTCTTTGTACAGTGTGTTTGCTAGTTTAGATCTTTTCCACAATGGCACAGTGTACAGCTTGCTTTCAGGCCAGTACTCTTTCTCCCCTGCTCCCCCATTGCTTCTATTTTTCCAAATGTAAGAAACCCTCTTGGGTACACAGACTTTTTAGTTAGTTAGTTACTATATGTATACCTCACTTTTTTCCTTCCAAGGAACTCAAGGCAGCTTACATAATTCTCCTCTTCTTTCTCCTCTCAATATTATCCCCACAACAACAACCCTGTGAGGTACGTTGGGCTGAGAGTTGGGCTCAGAGTCACCCAGTGAGCTCCATGGCTGAGTGGGAAGTCTAGAGACTAGAACCCAAATCGCCCACATCCCGATCCTGCACTCTTAACCACCATAGCATGCTGGCTTTTAAGAAATCCAGGGCCAATATTTGACTGCACATTACATATGATGTGTGGCACCTAGTGACCAAAGAACCACTAGGCAAGGGAGTGTCATGGCCAGCATGTGCTTGCCTGCGCTCTCACTGGTCAGTTGTCACGCCACGCCTTTCTCTTGGTGAATAGCACCCAGCAGAAAGGTGGCAGCATTGCTAGCTCCTGTTTCCTGAAAGCCTGTGGGCAGGACACTGCACGGCCCGCTCGCTCTCTCCCCATTCTTCTGCCAGCAGCTGCTGTTTCTCCTCTTGCTCATCATGGCTCACTCATGCTTGCTTGCAGGGAGGGAGCCAAGGGGCAGGCATGCAGTGGCACTGGCTGCGCAACCGACCCACAACTATGCATGGTTGTTGCAGGGAGAGAGGCGAGCGCAAGTGCAGAGGAGGAGCAAGGCCAGAAGCCTTCTGCCTGGGTCCCACTTGCTGGCCTGATGGTCCTTGGCAGGTGCCCAGCCAGGCTGGCTCTTGCTGGGTGGTTTACCAAGATTAAAATCCTAAAATATATATTTGTGTATGCTGGCTTTAGATTAAACAGCACCCTTAAAACTATCAGTGGGAAGTCTCAGCACTCATTAAAGAAGCATATGTGGTGCTGCAAATACCTGGGACTACAGGAAGGTTGCAGCCAGGTGCTACAAAGTTGCTTGTGTGGGTGCCAGGAAGTCCTTAGTGGGCAGAGCGATCCAGAATTGGAGGAGTGACAGGAGGGGCCTCTCCCTGTGACCATCCTCTGAGCCTCTCTGAGGAAAGGCACTTCGAAGGGGGGCTCCACTGATGCGTGTACTATGGGGGCTGGTTCATTCTGGGAGAAGGGCTAAACTATTTGTAGTTTCGTGGGTGTCTAGTGGAATAAGTTATGATGTTCCCCCCCCCCCCGTGTTTTTAGGGCACAATTTCTGGCGAGGGACCCTTAAAAACCGTGTGAGTCAGTGTGTGTTCAGCTAAGAGCAGCCATTACCCTACTGGGACAAACAGTCGACTGTCTCCTCTGCATCCCAAATGAGAGCAGCTGGGCTGTAAGAAACACTGCCATCTGAGGCGGATCAGCCCAGGGGCTCCTCTAGCCTGTCAGCTCCATTTGCAAGACACAGTCCTTTCCTGCTCGAAATGTGATTACAGATCGTAAGAGGGGTTGCAAATTGGGTTACAGCGATACAGCATAAGCACCCCCCTACACACACACACACACACACACACACACACACACACACACAGCAGATGCTGTTAGCTTAAGTGGCTGTTGGGAACTGATGCAAGGAGCTTTGAGGTCACTTTACTCACCTAGCAGAAGGACAGCCAAGACAGAGAAAACACGGCCAGAGTTCACCATGGAGGAGCTTCTCTTGCTCTAAGGGCACAAAACATGAGCCGATTACAGGGCCTTGTCCATATGTGCACTTAATGAAAGCAGGACAGTGGCTGCAAGGAGCTGTACCTTTAATTTGCATATAGCCATCTTCCGTGAGATCAATGTTTGCTTTTGCCTCTTACCAGTCACTGACATGTTTCCTGGTAACAACTAATAGGATTTGTCATTAGTTAGCCATGAAGAGAGAGGGCAGAGTAAGATTCCATGTGCAACCTGAATTAAAAGAGGGTCCTTATCTGTAGGACTTCCTCATGGAATATCTCTGTGTTAACCATATTGCTGGAGACAATGTGCAGCTCCACTGTGCAAAGCAGGAGGTTGGAGAACTGGTATCCACTGGGCAAGGATGTTATAATCACTCTTTCCTTGCCTTCAGAAGAGAAAAATATTCCAAGCATGCAGAGAGTTCTTTTTAAAACTTTATCACAATGAAGGGAACAGAAAAAATGGTTTCCTTCCCATTTTCCTATTCACCTGAGCACATGTTCACACCCCCCTTTTGAACCCTGCTCCCGGCCGCTTCTTCCCTCCTCCTTTCCCCTCATTGGCTGGGGTACCGGGAGTTTACAATCTTTCCGCCGGCCTACTCCACACTGCTCCAACACCGGCCCTTCTTCCCAATCCAGCCCTGCCCCTGGTGAGCTACAGTAGGCTCATTTAGTTCTGCCCAGCTTGTCAATAAACAATCAGGAAGTATTTGGCCCTCCTGCCTACGTGCCTGTTTCCCCATATCTTGTGCTATCTGATTTTGGCCCCTCCCCTCCTTTGGACTATATAATTTTCTTTGTTACACCTTTTAAACCAGGGGTCTCAAACTCAACTTACCTGGGGGCCGCTGGAAGTAGAGTCAGGGTGAGGCTGGGCCACATCAAGTATTTCACCCCCGTGGTGGTGGTGGGCCACTCATCCCTTGTCGCTCCCGGAGGCCGGCCTGGGTGCTGTCGGCACTTTTAGGGCCACAGGGCCCCTCCCCCGTGCCCCGCCCGTCCCGGCAATTGGCCCGCGGGCCGCGAGTTTGACACCCCTGTTTTAAACCTTTCTAGTCCCGTGTTTCAAATCATCCTTTCACATCTGTCAATGAGGCTTGTAGACTATGTAATGCTACAGGCCAAATTCAGTTTGGGAGAAGCTCTTAGGGGGCTTGTTCCAGTGCGAGAGGTAAAAATACTTCCAGGGAGACAGGTGTGCCCCTCTTGGAAATCTGGGAGGGCCTGGAGGCTCCCAGCGCTGGTTTTATAGCCATCTACTGCTAACGTGGAACAAATTAGTGCTATGTGGATGCATTTTTGATCTGACCTCTGCTGCTCCTTAATTGTTGCTCCTATTTTAATTTTAATGTAATGTCATATTTATTATATTAACTCTTTGACCTTGCTGTTCTGTACTGATTATTTTGACAGTGCACTTGGGCTGCTTTTGAAATCACAGCTGAGAGTGGAATATAGCTATTTTAATAAATATAAAGTGTGTAAATGCTGGGAACAATAGATGGCAAAAGAAGAAGGGGACGGCAGAGGATGAGGTGGCTAGATGGAGTCACTGAAGCGGTTGGTGTGAGCTTCAGTGGACTCCAGGGGATGGTGGAGGACAGGAAGGCCTGGAGGAATGTAGTCCATGGGGTCATGATGGGTCGGACACGACTTCGCAACTAACAACAACAACAAAGTGTGTATTTTGTCAAATGAAATCTAAGAACATACAGAAAGCCATGTTGGATCAGACTAGGTAGTTGGTTTCAATTCCACTGATGGTTATTTTAAAAATTGCTGAGCTTTTGTTCATCTTGTTTTTGGTTCTGCAGTTTTGTGCGACACTTGGAAGTACCCCATGCTGCTCCTTTGACAAGCTGCTAGAGTTGGGTCCTATTTGTAAGTGAATAAGCATCAATTTCATTTGAGTTGACAATCTGTTGCTGAGTTTGCTGTAAACTAGCTGCCATTCCACCTCCAAGGCATTTCATATTGCCACATAATTAAGTAAAATTTCAGTGGGGCTTGCGAATCCTATTAGAAAACTGTGGTATGTTGTATAATTTAACCAAACAAGTACTTCCATGGCATACCTGCTGTTGAATACTTTAGTTTCCTTAGATAGTTGAATATTTTAGTGGCACCTTCCCCAACTTGGTGTCTTTCAAATGTATTGGGCTATAATTCTCACAGTCCTCATCCAATAGCCCAGCACATCTGGAGAATGCCAAGTTAGCAAAGGCTGATTGAGGGCGTGATCCACTGGCTTCCAGACATTGCCTTGGGGTGTGGGGAATAGGTCAGAATCTCACTCCAACTTCAGCGGGAGCCCCTCATCCACAGCTGGTGTGGTTCTTCCCATCTTTGGACCTGGCATGGGGGTGTTCCAGAACGCAGGGAGGGGAAGGATGTGAGGGAGCCCCATCCACCAAGGGATCCTGCTGGTCTCTCAGCCATTTCTCCTAATGGGGGCAGGAGAAAATGTTTAGATGGGTAAAATCAGCCTGTCTAAATATTTTAAAGGGCCAGGGGTGCAGGGAGGCACTCCTCACCCCTGCACTTTCCCCACCTTCCATTGGATGCCTTCATCCTCAAAGCTGAGAGGGTTGGGGGCAGCTATAGTGGAGGGTGATTTCCATACCTTTTGAAATCTGTTCCTTCTAGTTTAATGGCTGCCCTTGAAAATGCACATTGGGGAACAAGCTGCAAAGGTGTATGTGAGACAGGAGATTAACGTCTTCTCTTTAAGAAACTCTAAAAGCAGCCACTGGAGGAAGTGGTGATCCAGTTCTGGGTTGTAGCACCAGAGAGGAGGGGTAATGTTTCCTCTCTGCCATGGAATATTGGCTGCAATTTGTGACATAGTGAGCAACGTAATACCTGCACTATTTGTGACATCTGCCAGTGTTGTCATTTTCTTTTTCCACATTTTAGAAGTTGAGCACTCTCAAAATGTACTATTTAGGCAACATTTTCTTTTAAATAATGAGTTACATCAAGGCTGCCACATCAGAGGTGTTATAATCACTCTTTCCTTTCTATCAGAAGAGAAAAATATTCCAAGCATGCAGAGAGTTCTTTTTAAAACTTTATCGCAATGAAGGGAACAGAAAAAAATGGTTTCCTTCCCATTTTCCTGTTCACCTGAGCACATGTTCACATCCCCCTTTTGAACCCTGCTCCTGGCCGCTTCTTCCCTCCTCCTTTCCCCTAATTGGCTGGGGTACTGGGAGTTTACAGTCTTTCTGCCCGCCTACTCCACGCTGCTCCAACACCGGCCCTTCTTCCCAATCCAGCCCTGCCCCTGGTGAGCTACAATAGGCTCATTTTGTTCTGCCAAGCTTGTCAATAAACAATCAGGAAGTATTTGGCCCTCTTGCCAATGTGCCTGTTTCCCCACACTTTGTGCTATCTGATTTTAACCCCTCCCCTCCTTTGGACTAAGTAATTTTCTTTGTTACCTTTTAAACCTTTCTACTCCCTTGTTTCAAATCATCCTTTCACATCTATTAAAGTGATGCCCCATTGGTTTGGGATTCCTTTGCATTTGAAACTTAAATTGAGAGTGTTAGCCAGTGGTCCTTAGGCCTCACCTGAGGGGGTTTTAGGATGCTGAGCACTCCCTGCTCCCAGTTCAGAGGCAGCTTTCTGACTTTGGAAGGGGGAGTTAGAGATCTGACCCCCACTTCACTCTCTTGCAGTGGGCATAGAAAAAACTGGGTTGGCTGCCCTCCAAGAGAAGGGAAAAGTAGACATTTCGGCAGGTGGGGAAGGGATGGCATCAAAGAGACCAGTTATGAGTTGTCCTGAGCTTGTACCAGACTCCTTCCATCCCCTTCTGAAACACTATCAGTAGACAGACAAAAAAGCCTGTCTACCAAAAAAGGCAACTGTGGGAATGTGAAGCTCGCCTCTGCTGTGCCCCCACTTTATTTATTATTCCAATGGCTTATTGGATGCCTCCAAGTTCAGGGTTTCTAATTGTCAAGGGTGCAGTCCATAGGATTGTGCCATTGCTGTAGTTCATTTCAGTCTGTGCATTCTCCTGTTCCAACAAGAGAATACAGATCTGTGCTGATATTTTGCAAAGGGTTAGCAAGATTTGTATATTAAAAGGCTGTATTTCTACTCCAAGATTGTCAAAGCGGCTTATAGATTTTTTAAAAAAACCAAGAAACACAATTAAAATATGGCTATTTTCAAGGATTAATCATAAAAGGGGTAAGGGATAAGCCTGCTTGCTTGCTTTCCTCCCTCCCATTCTTCTTACCCCATCTCCCTCCTGCTCTGCCTAGTACTACAAGGTAGCATGAGAGGTGGGGATGGCTGTGCTCCAGGGGGGCTCCCAATGACCCTACAGTCAGCAGCTGCCACCATAATAGATGTCGTAGATTTCTTCTTTTAACTTTAAGCAGAGACCAAGTGTGCTGTGGAGCAAAGGCCCATTTGTACCACACCTCCTTCATTTCCTGGAGGATTGTTGGTCCTGTGTGAGTCCAAATGCCCTCTGAAGAGCTCAGGTGAGGAGCACAACTTGAGTCTCTCCTTAAAGTTAAACCCTTATAGCAAAGGCACTGCAGCGATGGCTGCTCCTGTGGCCTTCCAAGCTGTTGAGCCTAGGGCCAGCCCCATGTGTTCCACTATATATTGCTAACTCTTAAAGCACAGTCCTGTGCTTGCTCAGACAGAGAAAAGGTCAAAACTCCCAACTCGCTTGGTCATAATGGCTGAGCACTACTGGGAATTGTAGGCTTTTCTCTACTAACCATGCATAAGGCTGTGCCTTAAATAATTTAGAGATTTAACTAATTTAAGTCTAAAGCAGCTACTTGGACTGGGGTTCATGGTTGGGGCCTGTCATGACTCCCTCCTGCTCTTTCACATTTACCCTGCAACATGGTAGAAAAGTAGTCATGTTATCTTTTGCAGAAAAAAACAAGAATCTTCTAGTACCTTAGAACTAAAACCACAGATGGCATGAGCTTCTGTAGGCAAGATGCTGACAAACATTTTCTACATTACAGTTTCTGCCTTGAAAAGCTTTGAACTGAGGCTTTGGGAGGAGTGGGTGTGGTACAAAGGGCAGAATACATTTGGGATATGGACGTTGAATTTAAAAGTAATATTTAAAAAAATTCTGTAGAGTGCAACCCCACTCACATTGATGACTATTCAAGTAGTGAATGATGGAAATGTTAATGTTTAAGCCTTTTCTCCATCTAGGTAACAAGGAAAATATTTGGATGCATATTGATGCAGCTTATGCAGGGAGCTCATTCATCTGCCCAGAATTCCGCTACCTTCTCAATGGAGTGGAGGTAAGCAATTGTCTGGAGAATTTCATATGAAATCTGGATAGAATCTTTAGCTGCTGACCTCTGATTTTACCAATCTTTTAGTCATGTACAGCATTCTTGCTCATACAGTGGAACACTGAGTGGCTTCCATATAATTCTCTTTCATGATGCAACTAAAAATATCCTCGTTTGGACAATATACAATCCGCACAACCTGATCTGTGCATAGCAGAAGGCAGCATCACATGTTCTTACTCTGGTGTGCTTGCTGTACCAGTGTCTAGACATAATGTATGAGTAGGATAGTCGCACACAAAACACAAGGTGTGTAGACCTGAATGGAACAATCAGTATTATTCATAAAAACCCATTGATCAACCATGTTCTCTGAGATCTAGGTGTGATGGATTTTGTATGTGAATACCCTATTCCTATATTATGCCCAACTGTGAACATCTGATAGCATTTGGAAAGCAGGGAAGGCACAATTTGGTTTCTCCACCATGCTGGAGGAGAGTATTGTCTGAACTAGACCATCACAAATTGCTTAAATGGAACAAAGTATTTTAGGTTATTTATCATAACTGCATCCAATATTCCTTCCATTCTATCTTTATATCATCACTGTCAAGTAGGTTAGGCTAAGACAGAAGTTGGGAATTGGTGGTCCTTCCAATTGTTGGTGGACTCTAGCTCCCATCTGCCTGAGCCAGCATAGCCATTGATCTTGTATGACTGAATTTATAGTCAAGGCCTGCAGGTTTCCTACTCTTGGTGGTAAAGTGTATTAATAGGCACAAGACCATCCATGAAACTTTGTAGCTGAACAGGAACTGGAACTTAGCTTGCTCTGATCTAAGTCCAGCAACTTATCTACTATATATGATTCGCTCCTTAAAGTTTGAAAAAAAATCCAGATATACCTTCCAGACTTCCTTTGGCCAGCTATTTAATGTACTGTATATAGAAAATCTACTGAAATAAAAATAAGGACTGAAGGTGTAGACCCACATCTTTTATTATTGGGTGTTATTGTTAGGCTATATGTGGCACTTGACTTCTTTGACACAAGAAGAAAATGGTCCCAGGCCAAAAGAGCTGGCAGTCTAAAAGTTGATGGGGGAGTGGTAGATGGGTGCATGTCAGAGATGGGCTAATGAAGAAGGGAAGGAGGGAAGTGAGGAGCATGGGTAGCAAAGGACAAATCTAAACAAGTTAGACACTTGTAGGCTTTGTTTCAGTTGCACATGTGTGGGCTTATCTGGGACAGTGGGTAGAGTATTGGTCAGGGAGAAGAAACCTGAGTTTCTTCTCTGAGTTCTGAAACTCCTATACTCATCTGCTTATGCATTTTATGCCTTTTTGCTGATATTATCTGTTACCTCCAAGTCACAACAATCTATGTTGGTCTTACACTAATTTGTTTATTTACAATGACAGTAGAATGTCTGCTCTAAATCAACATCTGGTCAGAGAAGGAAAAAACAGCACAAAGCCAGAATAAAAAGATGAGAAAAGTTGGCTTTTCCCCTTAAATATTTTATCAACATTTTATTATTAAATATCAGCTAACACATTGATATTGTCATCTAGGTATTTGAAACAAAGATGTGCATTTAGCAATCACTTCCCTTGTCTGCGTATATTTTTACACAGGGAAGTAAGTGCTTTTCTACCCCAACTTATGGACAAAGAACAACAGAATGATACTCTGACACGCTATGTGTAATTGTCTGGCTGGCTGGCTGGCTGTCTTCAATAATGTTCAGCAGTTTTGCATGTGCTTCCTTAGATAAGGGCAGTGTAATTTCCTGAGAATTTCTGCAGGCTGTCAGATAAAGTTCTTGTCTTCTGTGTCAGGAGAGAGTAAAAAATATTACTATTTGGAGAAGGCCAATGCTTAAAGGATGCCGGTGGGTACAGACTAATAAAGAAAAAGAAGGTGGGGGAAAGGCCTAACCGGTAAAGCATCCCTCTTTCATTTTTATCAGCAAACAAAGCTTGCTGTAATTTCCTGTGCAGGTTTTATTGGATCCTGAAGGAAATGAATCAACACTTTCAGTGTGGTCCTGCATCTTTCAATATATCAGCCATTCAACAAGTCTGAATAGATTTCTAGCCATATGGGGTCCATGCCCCCACCACTTTGATAGGCCAGTTTTTGCCTATCAAAAGACCTGTCACCTAATAGGGGAAACTGATGCAATTGGATTGAACAAACAGGTCCTGCTGTTCCAGAGCTGTGCATCATTTATACTTTAGATATTTACAGAAATCACAAAAACAACCCACAGAATTTCATAAATTTGCCAGATGGGTTGCTGCTGTGAGCGAATTCTGTGACATCTGACATCTGTTCACTGGGGTGGGGGAAGGCAGAAGGGCAGTGCCAGTGGTGGAGAGTTGGTGCTCAAGGCGAACTGTGAGGTAGGACAGTATTTATCAAGGAGAGTGACGTTTTAGCCAAGTCAAAAAAGTGTGTGTATGTGTGTGGACAGTGGATGTTAGGACAGGGGTCTTGAACTCTTTTCAGTCAGAAGGAACCTTTGGGATGCAGAGTATGTTGTCAGCACTCAGAAAATAGTGGCCATTGTCAGTGTGTGTGTGTGTGTCGACTCCTATCAACAAAATGGCTGTCACAGTGGAAGTGGCTGAACAGAAAGTACTCATATTCCAAAAGGCAAACTGGTAAAAGAAAACTATCTTCCCCCAAAACCTAAGTACAAGACAGTGGTGAGGGCTGAACTCCAAAAAACAAAACTATTAATTTGAGTCAGCATATTTCTGCTCCGACAGGTATTTCATGAAAAGCGAACTGTTGAAGCTCAGATGTGAGGAACAAAGGCATGCTTGGAAATAAGGATGACTCTGGATGCTGGCACTTCACCAAATACCAGGCTTCCATTTGCTTGTTTGCTTATTTTTGATTAAGACAAATCTGTAAAAGCAGCATTAAAGTTAGGAGAGGCAGGGAGCCTGGCAGGAACCGAGAAAGAGCCCATTGACACACTGGGGTCCATAGGTGCTCCCTTGGGCACCCCAGTGCAAGGGCATGTCCCAAAGTGCTCCAGCATTTCTCTCCATTTTCAAAAGCCATTTGCCATACAGCAGGCATCCTCAGCCATCTGTCCAGATGTTTTCGAACTCAATTCCCATCGACCACAACCAGCATAGCCACTGGTTGTGATTCTTGGAGTTATTGTCCCAAATGTATGATGGGCGCCAGGCTGATGGATCCTACCCGTGTTGGGGTGAGGTGGGACAATTGTTCCAAATGCACATCTATGGGCCTTGGAGAACAGGTGATTGAAAGTGAACCCCAAAGTGTTCAGGGTTTGTTTGTTCATTTGCTTTTGCAAGGGTAGCCCTTGATAACCCTCACCAATTAAACATAGAAACAGAGCAAGTCAGAAGGGGCCTCCCGGGCTATCTAGTCTGACCCTCGGCTCCAGCCGGTTCCGCTCACAACATGGGGGGGGGGAAACATCCTTGACTTGGTCTTGACCAATAGGGAGCAGCTGATAGATGAAGTACAGATTAGGGGAGCTCTGGATGCAAGTGATCACTCCATCCTTTGCTTTGAGATCAGGGGACTGCGGATGGGCAGCAGGTCGAGCGCTAGAAGCTGGGACTTCGAGAGGGCCAATTCTGGCCAACCGAAGGCCAGACTGGGGAAAGTCTCCTGGGACAGGTTAC